TTAAAAAAAAAAAAAAAAAAAAAAGAAGGCTTTGGTTGCCTGGGATCAGTAATAAATATGTGAGATCTTTCACTTCTAAAAAAATAAAAATAAAAAATAAAAAAATAAAAAGCAAAACAAAACACCAACTCTGAGCTAGTTCTAATTACATGATTAGAAATAATAATAGCATGTGCTAATATATTATTGTTGGACACATAAACCACTATGCATTTCTTTCTTTTTTGGAGACAGGTCTCACTCATGTTGCCCAGGCAGGAGTACAGTGATGCAATCATGTCTCACTGCAGCCTCGACTTCCCAGGCTCAGCCTCCCAAGTAGCTGGGACCACAGAGCACCATACATGACTAATTCTTTTTTTATTTTTAGTAGAAACAGGGTTTTGCAATATTGCCCAGGCTGGCCTCCAACTCCTAGGATCAAATGATCTGCTTGACTTGGCCTTCCAAAGTGTTGGGATTACAGGCGTGAGCCACCATGCCTGGCCTGCATTTTTTTTCTGGAGATGGATTCTCATTCTATTACCCATGCTGGACTGCAGTGGTGCAATCTTGGCTCACTGCAATTTCCACCTCCTAGATTCAAGCGATTCTCCTGCCTCAGCCTCCCAGATGGCTGGGATTACAGGCACCCGTCACAATACCCGGCTAATTTTTGTATTTTTAGTAGAGACTGGATTTCACCATGTTGGCCAGGCTGGTCTCAAACACCCTGATCCACCCACCTCAGCCTCTCAAAGTGCTGGGATTATAGGTGTGAGCCACCATGCCCGGCTGCCCGCATTTTTTTAATAACATGTACACACAGATAAACACACATAAAGCAAGACACTACATGCCCAATAAAATGGTAAAATTTTAAAAACTGCTATCTCTTTAAAATCCTCTTTAAAATATCAAATTTTAAAGAGGATTTGGAGCAACTAGATTTATTACACATTATTGGTAGGAATATAAAATGATATAATCACTTTTGGGTATGCATGTTCACAACAGTTTTATCAAAAGCCAAAAACAAGAAAACCTAACTGTCCATCAACAAATGAACAGATACATAAATCAGGCACCTCCCCCCAAAAAAAACCCCCAAGCTAACTTTTGATACATTACATGAAAAAAACCTCAAAATCATTAGGCAGAATCAAAAAAGCCAGGCACAGGGAACATATAGTATGATCTCCCAGAAAATTCTAGAACAGCAAAACAAATTTATAGTATAAAACAACAACAACAAAAACCTAGTCAATAGGTATCTGAAGTGAAGGCTGACTGCAAAGGGGCACACGGGAATTTTTCAAGGGTAGTGAAAATATCAGCTTAATTGTCATGGTGGGTACATTGTCATGGGAGGTCCAATGCGGTAAGTACCATAAAACTTATCACACTGCATACTTTATTATATGTAAATTACACTCATTAAAGTTGATGAAAATAATGTTTAGACTTCTAGTTCTAATCCTCTTTCCATTCAACTACTATAAGTTATATATGATAGTTTATATGGACTTAGCAATTTGGGGGCATATAAAAGGGAAAAGATGCAGGAAAGGCTCCCTTGGGGTTCATGGACCACTCAAGTGACTATAATGCCTAGTTCTGGTTTACCTGTCACTGTAGAGTTTTAGAAGGTGAAAGCAGACATCTCGAAGTGGTGTCTGTGAGTTTTGCTCCTCCGCTATCACAGAGCCAGAACCCTCCAGATACGAAGGAAGTGGGGAGCAGGCATATCTGTCACTGTCAGAGGTATTCTGAAGGAAGAGTTTGGTAAAACAATGTATTAGCTCCTAATCAGTTTTACTAAATGCCATCATGTTTCTTTAGTTTTTGAGATGGAGTCTTGCTCTGTCACCCAGGCTGGAGTGCAGTGGTGCAATCTTGGCTCACTGCAACCTGTGCCTTCCAGGTTCAGGCAATTCTCCTGCCTCAGCCTCCCCAGTAGCAGGGATTATAGCTAACCACACCCAGCTAATTTTTGTATTTTTAGTAGAGACAGTGTTTTGCCATGTTGCCCAGGCTGGTCTCGAACTCCTGACCTCAGCTGATCCACCTGCCGTGGCCTCACAGAGTGCTGTGATTACAGGTGTGAATGACTGTACCCGGCCTAGATGCCATCATGTTTCAAATATTTACACTTGTATTAAAAATAAATAGACAGCCATCGGCAGTGGCTTGAGCCTATAATCCTAGCACTTTGGAAGTGGGAAGACTGCTTGAGCCAAGTAGTTCAAGACCTGCCAGGGCAACATAGCAAGACCTCATCTCTATAAATAAAAAAATAAAATTAGATTTCTTTGTAGTTCATGAGCACAATGATTGCATGTTCATGCATGCTTGTGTGAGATGTGCCACCCTTGAACCTTGTGATGACATTGACACATTACCAGTCTGACAGAAAAAGATAAATAAATAAGAAAAAAAAAATAAGCCAGGCATGGTGTTATGCACCTGTGGGCCCAGCTTCTCAGGAGACTGAGGCAGGAGGGTCACCTGAGCCCAAGAGGTCGGGGCTGCAGTGAGCTGCAATCGCCTCACTCAACTCAAGTTTGGGTGACAGAGTGAGACCCAGTCTCAATTAAAGAAAAAAAAAAGTGATTACACAACCCAAAGGCTCTATCAGGGATTTTAAGACGTTTTTGTTCAATAATGTATTTCATCTATCTTCAATGGACTGGTAAAGATTTAAAGTAACATCACTAAACCCCCATACTTATCTTGCCACAATTCTTAACATACTCAAGTTTCTTTAGTGTTCTCTTACTCCTGACAAATAATTCTGAGAACAATATAAAAGACAAGTAATAAATACGAACAATAAGACAATTCAAGAATTGATGGCATTAAAAGTAACAATACTTGAACTTCAAAACTGACAAGGAGTATAAAATATTACATTTAGAGGCAAATTTCAGAACTAAGTTGGAAAATAAACCAAAGCTGAGGTCAGGCTGTATAAAAGGGAATTCCCAAAGAAATAAGACAGCATTAGAAATGAAGAAGAACCCTCTGATTTACAGTCAACTGTAGAAACTCATGATATTAAATAAAATAAAAACAGACACTTGGAGAAGTAGCCTTGTTCAGAGGAAGGAGTAAAGGACAGTTTTCCATGAGATTTCCTGGCTCCATTTCAATTTTACAATACTGTTAAAAAACGCAGTTATTGGCCGGGCGCGGTGGCTCACGCCTGTAATCCCAGCACTTTGGGAGGCCGAGGCGGGTGGATCACAAGGTCAAGAGATCAAGACCATTCTGGTCAACATGGTGAAACCCCGTCTCTGCTAAAACTACAAAAAATTAGCTGGGCATGGTGGCACATGCCTGTAATCCCAGCTACTCAGGAGGCTGAGGCAGGAGAATTGCCTGAACCCAGGAGGCGGAGGTTGCGGTGAGCCGAGATAGCGCCATTGCACTCCAGTCTGGGTAACAAGAGTGAAACTCCGTCTCAAAAAAAAAATCAAAAAAAAAAAGCCAAAGGCAGTTATTTATTAAATACAATTTGATAAGGTTTTTTTCTGCTGCAGAATTTCCCTGACAAAAACTTAACATCCAACAAGATTCTTGCTTGGCTCTACTGGCCACATATACCTGAAATGCTTCTTCATACATGTTGAGAGCCCTAGAAATGGAGGCTGTTGGTGGAAGCAAATACCAAAGATGGATAGCCAGGGAGCGTTTCCAGTCCAACTGAGAGCACACGTTGATTTGCTTCTGTTCTGAGAGCTGCCACACCTGTAGGAGACAAAATTATCACTGTGGCTATATTCTACCTTGTTATTCAAGTAATATTTTAAATGACTGGGATGCCAGTGTTAATGATTCAGATAAAAAATATACAAATATAATAAAATCTCATAGCAAGTGAGAGGGTTTATTGATTATTTACTTATTTTTATGGATCAACTGATCAATCGATTGAGACAGAGTTGCACTATGTGACCCAGGCTGGTCTTGAACTCCTGGTTTCAAGCAATCCTCCCTCCTTAGCCTCCTAAAACATTGGGATGACAGGAATCAGCCACCAAGCCTGGTCCCAGGATTTAAACAAATGAACAATCAGTACTCAAATGAGATGGGAGCTACTGAGAGCAGAGAGGAGGTCTTCTCACTGTTTATGATTGTTTTTTTTTTTTTTTTTTTTTGAGACGGAGTTTCGCTCTTTTTACCCAGGCTGGAGTGCAATGGCGCGATCTCGGCTCACCGCAACCTCCGTCTCCTGGGTTCAGGCAATTCTCCTGCCTCAGCCTCCTGAGTAGCTGGGATTACAGGCATGCGCCACCATGCCCAGCTAATTTTTTGTATTTTTGGTAGAGACGGGGTTTCACCATGTTGACCAGGATGGTCTCGATCTCTTGACCTCGTGATCCACCCGCCTCGGCCTCCCAAAGTGCTGGGATTACAGGCTTGAGCCACCGCGCCCGGCTTGTTTATGATTGTTAATGTATAAAACTTTAAAGTGAGCATAAATTCTGACCAGCTGCATTTTTATTTCTGAAACTTTATAATACTTTAAGATGATAATCAAGAAGAAGTAGGCAGTGTTAAGAGAAATGGCTTAAAATAATTATAACCCAACAGTCATAAAATGGAACAGAAGTGGCATAAAAAAGAATAATGCTGACTGGGCACCGTGGCTCACACCTGCAATCCCAGCCCTTTAGGCGGCCAAGGTGGGAGGATCACCTGAGGTCAGGAGTTCCAGAACAGCCTGGTCAACATGGTGAAACACCATTTCTACTAAAAATACAAAAAAAGGCCAGGTGTGGTGGATCATGCCTGTAATCCCAGCACTTTAGGAGGCTGAAGTGGGTGGATCACCTGAGTTTGTGAGTTTGAGATCAGCCTGACCAGCATGGAGAAATGCTGTCTCTACTAAAAATACAAAAAATTAGCCAGGTATGGGGGCACATGCCTGTTAATCCCAGCAACTAAGGAGGGTAAGGTAGGAGAATTGCTTGAATCTGAAAGGCAGAGGTTGAGGTGAGCTGAGATCATGCCATTGCACTCCAGCTTGGGCAACAAGAGCAAAACTCTGTCTAAAACAATAAAAATTAAAATTAAAAAAAAAAAATTAGCTGGATGTGGTGGGGCAGGCACCTATAATCCTAGCTACTTGGTTGGAAAATCGCTTGAATCCAGGAGAGGGAGGTTGCAGTGAGCCAAGATTGTACCACTGCACTCCTGCCTCGGCAAAAAGGGGGAAACTCCACCTTAACAATAATAATACCAAAACCTAAAATGCAATAAAATAAATAAATGGGAAAAAAAAAAAAAGAAAAAAGAAACAATAATAATAATAATGCTTCATGACATGGAAAAATATTCATATACAGTAGGTTTTTTAAAAAAGCTACAGGGCTGGTGTGGTGGTTCATGCCTGTAATCTCAACACTTTGAGAGAACCAGGTGCGAGGATCCCTTGAGGCCAGGAGCTCCAGACCCGCCTAGGCAACATAGTGAAACCCTATCACTATAAATTATTTGTTTTTAAAAAAAAAAAAAAACAACTTTTTTTTGAAATGGAGTCTCATTCTGTCACCCAGGAGGAGTGCAGTGCCGCGATCTTGGCTCACTGTATCCTCCGCCTCCTGGGTTCAAGCAATTCTCCTGCCTCAGACTCCTAAGTAGCTAGGACTACAGGCTCACACCACCATGCCTGGCTAATTTTTTATTTTATCTTATTTTGGTTTTAGTAGAGATGAGGTTTCACCATGTTAGCCAGGATGGTCTTGATCTCCTGACCTTGTGATCCACCCACCTCAGCCTCTCAAAGAGCTGGGATTATAGGCGTGAGCCACCATGCATGGCCTATATTCTTCTTCTTTTTTTTTAAGAGACGGGTTCTCGCTATGTTGCCCAGGTTGGAGCGCAGTGGCTATTCACAGGCGCGATCCCACTACTGATCAGCAAGGGAGTTTTGACCTGCTCCGTTTCTGACCTGGGCCAGTTCACCCCTCCTTAGGCAACCTGGTGGTTCCCTGCTCCCAGGAGGTCACCATATTGATGTTGAACTTTTAGTGTGGACACCAGATCGACATAGTGCACTACAGCCCAGAACTCCTGGGCTCAAGCGATCCTCCCACCTCAGCCTCCTGAGTAGCTGGGACTATAGGCACACGCCACCGCACCTGGCTAAAATCTTTTTTAAATGGAAAAAATCATGGGGCCAAAATTGCCCACTGCACTCCTGCCTAGTCAACCTAGCCATACCGTCTCAAAAAAATTAATTAAATAAAATAGATTCTTTCTGGAAGGATAAGTTATTTATATTGTTTACTGCTATATGATATGGGATATGAAAATTTTTAACATTTTAATTTCTATATAACTAGATTTTTAAAACAGCGTGCACGTCTGTCTTTATAATTTGAAAATATTTCCACCAAAAATTAAAAACAAATTGGCAAATGTGTAACACATTTTGTGTAATTGTGCACAATTTACAAAGATCACTCCCTATCTAAACCTCAAACCAGCTTCAATTTATGAAAACACTGATGTGAGATTATGGTAAAAGTGGAAGATACCGGTTTTCCAGCCAACAGAGCAAAGATGCGCAGTCTCTCATCCTGGATGAAGCAGTCTGCTTGGAGCTGATGCCAATCCACCAACTGCATAGTGAGCAGCTCCCGGATGGACTGGCTACCCACAAACTGAGATAAAAGAAGAGCAAGACGATGATCACCTAAAAGAGAAATAGAAGTGTTTTTGGTTATTATTAAGGGTTTATGAACTTGGTCAAATACATTATTTTTATTTCTTCTAGACTTCAGGATGGAGGACTTAACACTGGTGAATGCTTTCTGCAGTAGTGCTAAAATATTGATCAAAATGTATTTTCTGCTTGGATAGAAATTTGCAGCCAGGCGCTGTGGCTCGCGCCTGTAATCCTAGCACCTTGGGAGACCGAGGTAGGCAGATTACAAGGTCAGGAATTCGAGACCAGCCTGGCCAATATGATGAAACCCTGTCTCTACTAAAAATACAAAAATTAGCTGGGCGTATTGGCATGAGCCTTGTAGTCCCGGCTGCTCTGGAGACTGAGGCAGAAGAATCACTTGAACCCAGGAGGCAGAGGTTGCAGTGAGCCAAGATCATGCCAACTGCACTCCAGCCTGGGAGACAGAGCAAGACTCCGTTTCAAAAAAAACTTTGCAAAGTGGTTTAAGCTAAATTAAATATAGACTGAATAGCATACAGAGATCAATAACAGATCTACCACTACTTCTGTGTGGAAGAAAACAGCCCAATGTGGTATCTCACTTGAGGTCAGGAGTTCAGGATCAGCCTGACCAATATGGTAAAACCTCATCTCTACTAAAAATACAAAATTAGCCAGACATGGTGGCGCATGCCTGTAACCCCAGCTACTGGGGAGGCTAACGCAGAAGAAT